AAATAATGTTCTTTTTAGCAGCATCATATGACCCCTTTAACATAAAATGTTTAGCTGTATTTCCCTTGAAAAGAATACTGTGGTACAGTGATGAGGTCAGGATGTTTCTATCTATATGTATTTCAGGTAGGTCTAGCTAATGTGTTTGTGATGTGTTTGTCAATAAGGAAAGTGCCTCTTTGAACTCAAAGGCGGGATTTTCCTGCAGTGCTGCAGTTTCTCTGGACGGTTTCGTTCCACTCACCTCGCTTGCGAACCTGGATGGTGCGTAACGCCAGGATGTTCTGCTCATCCGACAGGAACTGCTTCATTTTGATGAAAGGCTCTTTGCCCTTGACGGTGAGTTTCCTCCAGGGTTTGGGTCGAGCCAGGATCTCGCTGACCGAGCCCTGCGAGAGGCCCAGCACGTAGTGGCCAAACACACGCTGACCGATGTTGTGTTTCAGCAGCTGCTCTTTGACCTGAAAAGCGATTTCTGCCGTTTCCAACTGATTGTCGTCTCCTCCCCCTGAGCTTCCGCTCTCCGATTGGTCACTTGGCATGCCTGTCTCTATGGCGACGGACATTGAGGCGTTCTGATTGGCTGACATGAGGGCCGCTTTGGCGGCGTAGAGGGCAGTGGGGAATGCCATGATGGAGCTGCCGTCTTTCTTGAAGAGCGGAGACAGGAGCTGCTTCTGCAGGAGCTGATCTCCATGAAGTTTCTCACTCGAGAAGGGCGACACTGAGAAGGGGCGGGGCAGTTCATGGGCAGAGAATGGCGTGTCAGTGTTGGGCGGTCCTGGACTGGAGGAAGTGCGGGTATCTATGGGCAAAGTTCCTGGAGGGGAGGAATACGACCCCGCCGGGCGACTCACATGCTTACTGCAGTCCTCAGAGTGACCCTCATCTTAGACAGAGAGAAAAGATACACGTTTATTTGATCAAATTGATAGTTATGTATAAACTCTGACTGGATATTCAATACCGCTGATGTGAGCAAAATATTTTATAAATTTAAAAATCTAAAAAATTCTACAGTTTAGCATTATTAAAAAAAATATTTGTAATATTTCATTTGAATTTTAATTCATTTATTATTTTAAATATTATTTTTATTTAATTTAATAATAATAATAATGTAATTATTATTAATAAATAAAAATAGAAAATAAAATAAAAAACAATATAAAGAATTTAGCTTGATACAGCTTAGCATTATTAAACAACATACATACAATGTTTACTGTAGCTGCATTACCATAGTACCCTTTACCATGATTTGGCATGAATAACATATTCATGTACTATGGTATAAACGCAGTGTTATTTTAGTATCACTAAGATACTATTATAAGTTTTATATATATATTAAATTAAAGTTTTAGTAGTTTTTTGTGTTTTTCTCATTTTTAATGTTTTTATTCATTTGTATTTCAGTTTTAGTTCGTTTTTTTACTACATCAAGGTAAACTTGATGTTGCTTTGGCAGCTAGCTGAAATCAAATGCGTTTTTTTTTAACATTTAACATTTCAAGTAAAAAAAAATATTTGTATGGTTTTAGTTTATTATCCAATGTACTTTAAAGATGGAAGGGAAAAGTTCAGTGACACATCCGTGAACATAAACAGACACATCCTTACCGCTGTTGTGTAACACTCTGACTTTATCCACAAGAAATTTGTGAGAGGGAAGAAAGGCATCTTTGTCCAGCAGCAGAGCCTCAGCGGTTTTGGCTGATTCCTGCACACACACACACACACACACACACACACACACACACACACACACACACACACACACACACACACACACAAAC